GTATGTATATTTTTATATTTCTATAGCTGCCTTATTATTAACTATATTTTTGTCTCATAATTACCTTACTGTATTTACTGCCTATATACTGTTTTTATCATTGACTTTGACATAGACTTATTCTGTATGCTATTTCCCACAGTTTCTTATCATTAATCTTTTGTTCTTTTAATACTGTTTATTTAGATTGCTTATTTCGGCAGACTTGTACTTGCTTTGAACACCATTCTTTGTTGTTTTAGGACCGCCCCCATTATTTCAGTTGTATATTATAGTTGTTTCTTATCCCATTTGTACAGGCTCCTGAAGAAGTCCATTGTGTGGACGAAAGTTAGGGAATAAATCATATATTGTTAGTCTCAAAAGTGCTGCTGTTATTTACTTTATAATGTTTTATCCTGTCACTTTTCGATTAAAAGAAGGCAACTACATTGGATTTCCAGCGTGAATCAGATTTTTTACCTTTCGCGGCTCATGTTACCAAATTCTAATCAGAACTCGCAAAGTATTTGACCAATCGGTTTCTTTCTCTCTGTAGGTTGATCTTTATTGTTTCTACCATACTTGTTGTAAAAATGGTTGTGATTAGTCAATATTTAGCCTGTCACTTTTGGAAACCAATAGAATCAAGCTTTCCAAACACCATTGACTGTATTGTAAACAGTCCCTTGTTTCAGCGTAATCATTTTTCTCCAGCGAGTGATGCGAAGACTAGAGTGTGCCTGGTGTTTGTTTGATAAGTTATACCCTTTCTATTGCTCTTTTTACTTAATGAAATATATGAATGGAAAGCTTATGATTAGTAGATTCTCATCATGTAAATATAATTAGGTTTGCAGTTATAATTTTGCTTCCCTCAACATGTTACAGTGAAATGAATGCAAGCGTTCGCCTCACTACGTAGCCTACATCACGCGCTGAACTCGCACAGGAAACACAGAAAGACTGGGTGGGCCTGGTGTTTGTTTGATAAGTTAAACCCTTTCTATTGCTATTTTTACTTCATGAAATATATGAATGGAAATCTTATGATTAGTAGATTCTCATCATGTAAATATAATTAAGTTTGCAGTTATAATTTTGCTTCCCTCAACATGTTACAGTGAAATGAATGCAAGCTTTCGCCTCACTACGTAGCCTACATCACGCGCGCGCTGAACTCGCACAGGAGACATTGAATGATACGCGCTAGAAAGCAAGAATTAATCTGTTCTGTTAGGTGCTGTTTTTGGCTCTTACAAATTCATATAACAGAAGAATTATGAAAATTTCCTTCAAATAAAAAACAAAATCTCATTTTCATTTTTTTTTTTACAAAGAAGTAATAATATAAAGCCTTTCTCTTCTTGAAAAAAATAACAAGCATGATCTAATTTTCCCTTTAATAAGAACAATCAACTAATCAAAACAGCATTTTTTTTGTTTAAATATATATATAAAAAAACCAAATGGAGTTCAACCTGGAGCAATGCATGCATAAAAATAAACACACACACACACCCACACACATTCAAACACATAAATACATAAGCAACGTTAATTAAAAAATAAACAAACAACAGCAAATTCTACTCTATCTATGGGCATACAAATATAACAGTTTTGAATGGAGCAAGTTCAGTATAATCAGAAATATTTTTTGTTTTAGTATATTTGGAAAAACCTTTCAAAAAATGAGTATGAATTTTTTCAGTTGTAATATTTTCGGTATGATAAATAAGTAGCGGTAAGCTGTATCCAATACACTTCTTTGCAAATTGGTTTGCTCGCCCAGTGCAGTACATGTACAGTACTTTAGTTTGTCACAGTATGTCCACTAGACAACACCGCAGATCTGTTTCTTAGAATGGTAGCTAAGAAGGGGAATTCCCAAGTTATACATTTGTCGTATAGGTAATTTTACGATATTTTTATGTTCCTTAGGTAAATAATAGATACAAAGTGATGAGTTACACAGACACATGGTTTTATTTGATACTCGCCTTGATAGCAAGAGCTGCAGGTTCGAATCCCACTTTCGAACCTTTACATCAACAGTTATATCCTACGAGTATTTTGACAGAAACACACATTTCTGGAGAAAGTTTGCAGCAGACATCGCAAAGAAGAACACGGAAACATTTTTAAACGGAATGTATCGATACAGGTTTAAGAAACCAGATTTCCATGAAGACACGACACTACTACAAATAATTCACACTACGACTAAGTACCCTAACTTCTACATTAAAGAACAGTTATTTGGACCTCAAAAAAGATATAACATATTGTAGCATATAATAACACCTATATGCCGGATAATAAAAATGAAAGTAAAATAATTCAAATTAAATTTGAAATTAATAGGCCTACTCGTTACAATATGCCATCAACAATACCGGGAAGTGAAACAGGAGACCCATGATTGATTATTATTATTATTATTATAACTGCCTGTGGCTGTTATTGCGTGGGATTTTCCTTGATATTTATACCGCCTGTGAGTTAGCAACATTCGTCTTTGGGCAGTGGTCAGCTTGGAAAGTTTTAATAGCACGATGTCGACTGATCGAGACGCCACACACTCCAATTGCACGGAACATTCGTAAGATTTTTTTTTCTTTTTTGTTTCGATATATAATGTCTGTATTGAGCTAATAAATCTAAAAAAAACAGTCAATGTTTCAGTATTCTGTACCTGTTTGGTAGGCCTTTTATTATTGAGGCCTACAAAGGCCATTATTGATATAAACCTCTGTCCACCCTATCATAGAATATAGTGTTGACAGAGGTTTGTTGATATAAATATCTGTCCACACTATCAAATATCCTTTGACAGAAAACTGCTGTATGCTTATAATATAATAATTATGTGCCTATACATGGGCATGAATGACGTCAGCACATCATGAACATATTTAGGCATGCCATACATTTTTTTTGTCAAATAAGATTTGATGGTCTGAATCTCCTTTTGAAGTTTTGTAAATAGTGACATTATTATTATTTAAAATTATGTTTTTTAAGCAAATTGATTAGTTGCATTATAGTTTGTTGGGGTGATTTTGAAATTGACCTCTATAGATTCTTGTTTTATTATGATCGAGACACACATCCCAAATGCAAGAACATTCCGTAAGATTTTTTGTTCTTGTTTCGAGATAGGCTGTATCTGTATTTAGCTATAGGCCTAAATATAACAATAACAATCAATCATTAAATAAGATCACTAGGTTTGTAGATGTCAATAAATAAAATAATAATATTAATAATAATATTAATTATAATAATAATATTAATAACAATAATAGTAGTAGTAATATTATATAATGATAATAATAGTAGTAGTAGTAATAATAATAATAATAATCATAACAATAGGCATAATAATTTACTTAAGAAATGATAATCTCATTAGAACATCGTTTACTGAATTTTAGAATGTCAGATAGTGAAGCAAACAAAATTAACAACAATGAGATTGATATGCAAGACAGAGGAAATAAAAACGAGGTAAGAATGCTTTAGACCTCTAGATAAGTACAGTGGAATACATTTTAATAGGCTTTGGTTTCGGAGATATCCTCATACAGTGTCTGACACATGGTTCGTGGTTGCAGAGAACAGGGAGCGATTAGTTTACCACCAGTTTCTCTTCGGTTTCCAAGGGATAAAGTGAGGGAATAAAAGAAATAAAAGAGGGAATGCTCACGCTCCACGGTTTTGACAAATTTCTAATAGCTGGGGATGAAAAAACCCGATTACCTTTATCAACACCATTAACCACTAACATTAATAATTACCATTGCTCATTAACAGTCATTACCGTTAACCTTACGATTAACATTATCGTTAGGCCTATATTTATCTTTAACAATGTAATTTTCATTATCATTTTCACTGTCACGGTCATTGATATAATTTTACCATTAGTTTTATCATGATTATCATCATTTTTATCATCATCCTCATCTTCATTATCATTCGGAAGTATTATTATTATTATTATTATTATTATTATTATTATTATTATTATTATTATTATTATTATTATTATTATTAAGAATATTGATATTATATAAGTTAAAACATTTGGCGCAGCAGTAGGGCATTGAACCTCCAGTTAAGAGGATTATTATATATCATTTGTCTTTTTTCTCAGACAGGTGAAAAAGAAATCAAAATGCTCTACAAACACGAACACACATCGCAAGAAATTTTGGAAGTGGTGGGACTACAACAGACGGTCAACATTGCAGTATTTTTTGTAAAAGCAGATTTAATCGTCAACTATTTGTATTACCTAACGTTGGTTAATATTTTCATGTCTATAGTTGCACAGATACTATTAGCGAGTTTAGTAGCAGCAAAAATATTTATTCGGAAGGTTCGTTTGTTCTCTGATGTTATTTTGATAAGAGCAGCATGCTAGCGACGTAATATAGTTTAAATCTGATATTTAAATGTCTGCTAAAATGAACGTTGAATGGTAGTGAAATTTGATGACGACTGACTTTCGATTTTAACTCATAATCTGTAAAAATTAATACATAGAATTTATATATTCCTTCTCGACGGAGAGGGGCGCGCCTCAACTCTCCTGGTGAAGTGGGTTGGATGTGGAGGCATTGGTCCCCCAATGGCCCTACCACTGAATGGGAATAAGTAATTGTGGGAATGACCTTGAGGATGAGAAAGAGTGATGAGAATAAGCCATGACTAGGATTATGATGTGGCTGAGGCTGAAATGGGAATGAGCGCGAGAACGAAAATTGATATAATAATCAGGGGTGGCACCCCTGTCGGAGTGAGCATGGTTCCCGTGGCCCCAGGACCATACTTCCGAGAAACTTTGAGCGACGTCCGACCACGCCCACAAAAGCCTAGTCTCCTTAAAATCTGTCGCTACTGTGCGCTCTTGTTGGGGATAAACGGCGCCTCATAGCGCTCTTATTGGGGATAAACGGCGCCTCATACCCTTTAAATTATGAGAATGACTAAGAATTTTAATGATGATGAGAAGGATGAGACTGTTGAACGATGATCATGAGAATGAGAATGAGCAGGAAAATGAGAATGAAAATGAGAATTAATGTAATAAAAATTATAATTTTTAAATCATAAAAAATATATAGAGTTGTTTCAAGTTATCATTTTATTTTATCACCAGACTGATGATATCGCTTCTAAGCGTGGAAACTCGTAGTAACAACTTTTGAAGCGTGTGTGTGTGTACATTATTATTGATTATCATTCTCATCCTTGTATTATCATTGCTTTTTCAGGAAGATGGTTGCCATTACTGTACCTTACTTATTTTACTTATTTTTTTGCAATTATTTCTTTCAGAGTATAAAAGAAAAAAGAAAAAAACTCAAGAATGGTGACGGCGATAAAAAGATCTTAGAAGAGAGCTTAAAAACAACGCGAAAGCGATTGCAAAGATTGAACTTTTCGACACTGTTTCTAGTGCTTTTTATAACAATTCTAACCACCATGCTACTTGCAACTTCCGGTATGATCGATGTTAGGCCATCACACATAGGGACATGATCAACAAGTCCGATCTCACTTGCCGACCACGTCGAACGCTCGCCATCAAAGATACACCTGGAATTTCTCTTAATCCCAAAAGTCGATGTGTTTGGTGTGTTACCCCAGCCCAGTAGTTGATGAGTGTTGAATCCCCAGTCATTGCGCCTCATGCCCTAAATGTATTCCAGAAATCTAGGCCTATCCACAATTCAATTTATAGCTGGCCTATTATAGCTTGTCATCAATCCCTGGGGTCCTGGGTTCAACTCCTGTGACAAAACACAAGATCACGACTGAAAAATATCTCAGCTCTTCTACCTAATCCTCATAATGAGACTTGGTTTATGAAGCATTTTATTTCTAGAGGATCTGATGAATATCAGTTAAACTGGAAGGGTCACCCTCATTGTGTAAAAAAAATATATATAAATAAATAAACTTTAAATATATAAAATATACTGCCATTTGTAACACCGAATCATTGTCATGTAATTTTTATTGACATTAAATGGATAAAGAGATGGACAATGATCAGCGTAATTTACGCTGATCACCAGGCCTATCCATCTCTTCATCCCTTTAATGTCTATTCTTTTCATTTTATTTGAAGCATTTTAACTTAAGTTTTAATGCTGATTCGCATTACCTATATGCTATTCGTTTTTCTTTTAAGAACTTTAATCATGATTCTAATATAGGCCTAGGAATTGTCGGATTGCGGAAGCCCGAAACCCCCCTCCCCCCACGCCCATTGGAAGGTCCTGGCTACGGGCCTGAATTAGACATCGTATGAGCAATTCTTTTTCTGAACCTAGAAGCCGGACGCTCACGACGATGAATCCAATGCAACGCCAAGACGCGCGCACAACGGAACATTTTTATTGACGATCCGTCCAGACTGCCGCCGACAATCGCTAATTGTCGGTGATAGTCTGAACGGATCGTCATTAAAAGCGATACGTTACGCGCGCGTCGTAGCTTTGCGTTCTCCATAGAATCGCGTCGACTGACGACCGTCGTCGAGCGCGTAGTGAGTGCCCAGTTTTACTGTACTTGTTTGTGTTATGCTACTGGCATTAATGTATTTAATGTATTATCTTGTGTTTTAATTAGGCCTACTTTAATATTTTAAATGTACTAGGCAATGTGTGTATTCAAACAAAGAATTTCTGTTTTATATAGTACCTATAGTATTTATTAATGACATGCCAATAAATAAATCTTGAATCTTGACTATAAAAAACTTCAACAATAAATTTCGGAAGTATTATTTATGGTAATTTACTGCAATGCTCTTATTGACATTTGTAAACATACCGCTATAAAAATTTGAAACAACTCTAATATTTTATAGTGTAAAATTTATACAAAATAAACATCAAAACTCGAGTACGATCAAAAGCGAAATAAATCACTGACATTAACAACAATTTCCTATTCTGTACTGACAAATCTAGTAGGCCTATATGAAAAACATAATTATTTGTATTATATTTTGTTTGGATGGGGTTTGGAGAGTCACACAGAAAGTGATTGATTTTGTTATTGGCAATCCGGTCCACCTCATGAAAACATAATTGTTTGCTTTGTGTTTTTGTTTTTTAATATTGTATCTTATATCAAATGACGAAATAAATGAAACGGAAAAAGTGAATTTTTGTTTTTACAAAAATTAGTATGTTGTTGTGATACGTCACATTAGTGACGTGAGTCAGTCGTGTAGACGCACGCTCACGCATGGAACCGATCCACGGTAGGCATACCTACCGGCATATCTGTTTGAACTACATGTTATGTTACATAATAGTTGTTGAAGTTCTGGATAGCGGTCAAAAATGTTATTTCAAGTAAACTTAATAGAGAATAACTTAGAAAACGACACACATTTAACATAGACACAGCAAAATGATCTATAAACACTTCAGAGCAGGCATGAGAGCCACCCAGTAAATTAAATAATTAATGAAAATTTGAAAAGAAACTCGCCATAACTCCTCTAAAAAAAATCCCTGAAAACACCATTTTTTACAGCCTTTTCTAACATAACTATGGAACTGCTCATCAAATCAATTTCCTTTTTTTTTTTTTAAATAAAAGATCTATCTTTCATCTTTCTAATGAGATGAAATAAATCGAGATAGATTGAGATGAAATAAATGAGCAGTTGTCAAACAGATAGAGAAAGCTAAGCGTATACCACGCCAAGACCTACTGCAATACAACGAAAAGACATCCTCTCTAACCGCACACCGTTAATAACTACGTATCACCCATCACTCAACAAACCCCTCAAGCGCATCATAAATGATCTACAACCCGTCCTACATGACGAAGCCCTCAATGATATTTTTAAGGACAAACCTGTCATTACCTTTAAACAGCCACCTAATCTGAAACAACATTTAGTTAAAAGTAAACTTCCCACTAACAGCGACAATGGCACATTCCCTTGCAATACTAGACATGCAAACTTTGTCCACATATCAAATCCAGTAACATTGTCAAAGGACCTAACAATAATAATTTCAACATAAAAGGCACTTATAACTGCATGTCATCCAACCTAATATATGCTATATCATGTAATATTTGTCCTAATGCTCTCTACATCGGACAAACTGGACAAACACTAAGACAACGGATTAATGGTTATAAACATGACATCAAACACAAACTCACCCAAAACCTGTAGCTAATCATTTTGCATCTTCTGGCCACTCAATTATTATGAATATGAAAGTACAAGTAGTTAAGAAAGAATTTTTCAAAAATAGTTTAGAACGAGAAATAGGTGAACAGAAAATAATTACACAATTAGACTGTATAGAACTAGGCCTTAACATTGATCGAGGATTCCTCGCACATTACCGTCAATAATTATTTCTCATTATTGTATGTATATTTATATATATATTTCTATAGCTGCCTTATTATTAACTATATTTTTGTCTCATAGTTACCTTACTGTATTTACTGCCTATTTACTGTTTTTATCATTGACTTTGACATAGACTTATTCTGTATGCTATTTCCCACAGTTTCTTATCATTGATCTTTTGTTCTTTTAATACTGTTTATTTAGATTACTTATTTCGGCAGACTTGTACTTGCTTTGAACACAATTCTTTGTTGTTTTAGGACCGCCCCCATTATTTCAGTTGTATATTATAGTTGTTTCTTATCCCATTTGTACAGTCTCCTGAAAAAGTCCACTGTGTGGACGAAAGCTAGAGAATAAATCATATATTGTTAGTCTCAAAAGTGCTGCTGTTATTTACTTTATAATGTTTTATCCTGTCACTTTTCGATTAAAAGTAGGCAACTACATTGGATTTCCAGCGTAGGATGCAGATTTTTTACCTTTCGCGGCTCATGTTACCAAATTCTAATCAGAAGAACTCGCAAAGTATTTGACCAATCGGTTTCTTTCTCTCTGTAGGTTGATCTTTATTGTTTCTACCATACTTGTTGTAAAAATGGTTGTGATTAGTCAATATTTAGCCTGTCACTTTTGGAAACCAATAGAATCAAGCTTTCCAAACACCATTGACTGTATTGTAAACAGTCCCTTGTTTCAGCGTAATCATTTTTCTCCAGCAAATAAACCTTTTGTTCAGGCTCTGGTTATCTGAGATGCGGCTTGGTGCAAGATCCTGGAGTAAGGAATCGAAAGAGTCGAATTCTCCTCACGGTTTTGGTAAATTCCTGAAGGCTGGTAATGGAACAAAACCTATTACATTTACTGTACCAATACAACCATTACCATCAATAATTACCATTACGCCTATGTATTTATAATTAACATTGTCATTTTCATTTGCATTGTTATCCTAATTATCAATGTCAGTGTCAATGTCATTGTCATTTTCATTGTCATTTGACTGTCATTTCCATTGTCATTATCATCATCGTATCATTATCTTTATTATCATTTCAGTTTAAACATCATCCTCATTATCATTATCATACAAAAGTCAATATCATTAAGAATATTCATATTAGAGTTACAACATTTGGCGCAGCAGCAGTAGTGCATAGGGTCGCCAGTTAAGAGGATTACTATATATCATTTGTCTTCTTTTCGCAGACAATTCTCAGCAGAAAGAAACATACACTTGGCAAAGGAGTAAGTTTGTTTTAGTAGCATAATTAATTTCATTATTATTATTATTATTAGGCCTATTATTATTATTATATTTATCATTATTATTACTATTATTATTATATTTAGGTATTATTATTATTATTATTATTATTGCGATTGATTGACTTTTTAATCAATAGGCCTATTTAATCTATCTATCAGGATTAAATGTGATTATAATATACTTGTGATTTCTAATGTATACCTTGAATCGTTATTCATTTATTTTATTATGTATGTTGAAATTGATCATGTTTATGTTAATATTAGCATACTGATGTCAAGTCAGATATTCAACAGTAGGGAGCTAATTTGGAGTCTTCGCACAAAGCCTATTATTATCATTATCATTTTTATCATCTTTATCCTCACCACCATTATCATTATTAATACTTTAATTATCAATACTGATATGATAGCGTGCTGTAGGCTTCCAGTCAAGAGTTTGTTGTATACATTATTATCTGTTTTCTTATTGCAGAAAGCAGGTAAAAAAGAAATTGAAATTCTTACCGAATACGAAAATAGCTCTCAAGGAATCTTAGAAGTGGTGGGACTACAGCAGACGCTCAACATTGCAGTTGTGTTTGTGAAAGCAGATTTAACAGTCAATTGTTTGTATTACATGACGTTTGCTATTATTGTGACGTCTATATTTGCACAGGCATTACTGGCGATTTTAGTGGGTGCAAAAATATGGACACGAAAGGTTCGTTTGTCTTTCATTTTTTTTTATAAGTGCTGCAGGGCAGCGGCGTAGTAGTAGGACTGCAGTTCGGGAAGTTGCTAAACTAACGTTGCTGAGTGATACTAAATCGTCTGATAATAATAATAATATTAAATAATAATAATAATAATAATAATAATAGGCCTGGATGATGATGGATGATTATGTTGATGATAATGATGATGAAGATGTTGATGATGATGACGATGATGGTGCTGATGATGATTGATGATTACAGTAAACACACTGCAACAGAAATTGCAGGATTATGTATAGGCCTACAGTAATGCAATTTTTGAATAAAGTTTACCATTATCATTAACAGTTCATTATCATTGTATTTATTATTATATCTTTCATTGTCATTGTCACTACCATTATATTAATTACCAATGTCACTGTAAATGTCATTGTAATTGTTTTTATCATTATCATCACCATCATTACCATCATTTCAGTAGACTTATGTGTGTTATCAACGGGTTTTGTTTTTTTCTTCTAGGATATTAAACTTTTAAAACCTTTAAGGATGATGGCAAATAATGATGGAACAATAGAAGATAAGATCTTAATGAAGCAAAAACGTTTGCGATTGTTGGACTTCTTGTCACTGTTTCTAACGATTATTATAACATTTTTAACAACTGTATTGCTTGCAACTTCCGGTATGGTCGACTCCAGGTTCAAAGATGAAGGTGCTAGAGACATCTCACCGACAGAATCAGTGGACTGAACGTATCTTATATACACCCGGCGTTTATTTTTTTATTTTTTTTATTAATGTACCGGTACACAGCGGTGCACAGCGGCTGCGTATGAAATTATGTTTTCCACGGAGATAACTTACCGATATACGGACCCTTGATAATATCGTACGTTAATGACATACCGTACTCGCGCGAATAAGCGCCCGGGCGCTTAAAATATTTTTAGCACTTTTTGAGGGGTGCTTATTCAAACGGGGCGCTTATCAAAACAGAGTGGAAATTGAGGGGGCGCTTATGGAAATAGATGAAAATCGAGGGGTTATTATGACAACTTATTAAATTCAAGAGGCACATTTTGAATGAAAAATGATTATATAAGGACATCAGGAAACTGCAAATTACAAATTGTGGTGCGGCGGAAAAGACAATCGTCCAGAGAGCATGGCTTGTCATGACAAGAATGTTGTGAGCACATTAAAATAACAGCAGAATAGCAGATGAAATTAGTGGTGGTGGTTACTTGTTGGCCATGCCGATTGAGATTAGCAGAATTGCATGATCATTGCAGGTTTTCTTGAAAACTCAGATTGGAATGTGTTGTTAGGTGCAAATTGTCGGAAAAGCAGTAGGACTAGGCTATAGAACAAAGTAAGAAGATGGAAGTTGGAAATATATCTGTCTGTCCAGAGAGCTCTCATCTGTCCAAGATAAATATCCTCATTTTGATATTGACTTAAAGGAGAATGTGATTCCACTCCACACCTCAAATCATGCCAACATCCACAGTCCAGAATTGATTGAATTATTGAGGGGCGTTTATTCAAATTAGAAGGTGATTATGGTACCTTTAGATGACCAGAAATGGCTATCTCAGACTTAAATTTGAAAACATTTTCTTTTTTCTCCATTTTATACAAGCTATTATAATCTTATTTGAGAAGAAGGCAACAAAGAGTCCTTGTCGAGTGTCAATCTTCAAACTGGTGGTTATCTCTTCTTTCGGGGGTTACCCATGGTTTTAGGACCGCTTTTACTGAACATTTTTATTAATGATTTTACTAACGTCCCCAAATTTTCCAAATGTCTTTTGTTTGCAGATGTTATTAAATTATATATAAAACCATTTCCTCACATCAAGATACTACCTTACTTCAGACAGACCTGGATGACTTGGTGCAGTGTTCCAATTTCTGGGGTATGGTATTCAATACCTCCAAGTGTAAATCAATGACTATTACTCTTAAATCTAAACTTATCTTTTTTCAAATATCATATAAATCATCACTATCTAGATGCCCGCAACTGTCATACAGACAATGGGATTTTTTTAGATTCATGATCGGTTTCATTTGGAGGCATTGCAGAGGAATTGGACACTCCAATCTTTTTAAAACTCTTGTTAGACCTAATTTAGAATTATTTTCTGTTATCTTCGATTCTATTTCTGATGTTTATGTTAATAGGCTCCAACGCATCCAAAACAATTTTGTTAGATTTCTTAATCGAAAGTATTCAATTTCAAATGATAATTACGGTCTTCAACCCCTTAAGTTAAGAAGATGCATGTCTGATTTAATGTTTTTGTAGAAAAGTGTTGTCTGTTCAGTTAGTTGTTATTGTTGTTGTTTTTTTTAGTCTTCATGTACCTTCTCGTTCTGTTAGAATTAAGTACACAATTAATGTTCCTTTCAACGGGGTTAATATTTCCAAAAGGGGTTTCAAACTAGACCCCCTAATCTTTATAATTCATTAATTCAGTCCGATGTGAACATTGATATTTTTTCAACAGTTTCTCAGCTTTTAAGCTTTATTGTATAAATGTTTTAAGGAATAATTGTCCATAATATATATATATTTTTGTTTTTAATTTCTTACTTAGTGCATTTAAAAAAAATACTTTATCTCTTATCTTGTGAAGTAGGACAATCACGTATCCATATCAATAATAAATACTGTGTAATATCAATAGTTGTATAATTAAGGTCTATATAATTTTCAATTGTCTCGTAGCTCCCTGTTCGCTAGCAGTCACCTAAACCGTTTATATTGTCGATGCAATGCAATAAATTATATCTACTCAGATTAGGCAGAGTTGAGTCTGCATACTCCTCCTTCTAGGGTTCGTTAATATCGATCTTGGTACAATGTAAACCTGTAATCATATGACTACTTATACAGAATTTTACTATATTATAGGCCTAGGCTAGGACCAGGCCTCCTACTATAGTATAGACGCCTAGTACAAGACCTTGTTGTAAATCCCAACCCACATAAGCCTGGCCTATAATGCCAAGCATAGGGCTCGTGATCGCGGTACCCTGACCATTAAAAATTAGCAGACGCACTGGGAAGCGTTGTTCACGGAATTGGACTGCAGCGAAAAATGATTCCCCCATCATTAATGGAACAGGCCCACGTCATGTTTGGCTGATTAGTTTTGCTTTACATTTCGCAAGTCTAGTGCCTTATGCAGCAAAAGTCCATTTCTAGTGTTGTTATCAAATGCATTTCAAACCGGGCTGGTTTTTGATTTACGTTTTGGAATAGAGTTTGGAGAGGGCGTTTGGTTAATTCAGACCTACGTTTTGAATTTGAATTACATTTTAAAGAAATTATAGAACTTCATTTTGGGAAACTAGATCTACATTTTGAGAAATTTACGCCTACGTTTTGATAAATCAGACATTGAATTTTGCAATTACATTCTGATTTTAACATGGACTTTTGCTGCGTATGGCACCCCCACATGCATATTAATCAATCTTGGTAAATTTTCAAAATTGAAGATAGCGGATGTCTTGTCTAGAACAAGCTAACCAGCTCCCTTTCGGCTACCTACTTGAATTAAAACAGTTAGTATATAGTTCTGGCCTGCTGAGAACGACGTGGACTGATAACCGTAAGCTATACTTAGGAACCTTGCTCACCGCTACACAGATTTAGGCCTTTATAGGGTAGAATATTGTTAAAAAGGTAGGCCTCTGTAAGTAAGAACTTAAAAATAGGCCAAGCCTCTACTAGTCTAGGCTGGCAGGCTACCGTACTCCACACGAGGCCTGCCATCCTCCTGGACAGTTAAAGTTTTGTTGTATTTGTATGGTATGCCATCTAGCCTAAGCTTAATTGTTTTTGCCATTGCCAAAATTAGTCTTGCTAGGGTCTATTCTAAATATTTTAGGCCCGTTCTTTCATTAGGGAGGACAATTTAAATTTAGTCATGCCTAACTAGTCGACGCGAGTGACTCAGTTTCGTGGCTCCAAAAATATGAACATTTGATTGGTTGAAATTGTTTATTTCAGTCCGCCCATTTATCCAAATACGGAATATAACATTACGTCATCTTTTGGCATCCTGGTGCCTGATTTCAGTTTTACAAGTCGCTTATTCCGTCTCTAAATCAAAGATCTTATAAACACAAGATAGCGTTCTCCGCGATTTACGCGTAACAAATAGAAACGTCGGTCAAGGTTCAGAAGTTTCCAATTTAGCAAGAGGGCGCCAATCATGCGCTATTATACCAAAGAGAAAAAGTAATCAGTTTTGGAAGAGGGCGTCCTATCTGTTGCCATGGATCTGAGATGCTGCTGTTCACAGGATTGATACCCATACTTTACCAAGGTAAAGTCGCGCGTTGACGGTATGGTCCGAGCGGTCAAGGATCAAAGGTTTCCAATTTAGCAAGAGGGCGCCATTCATGCCTTATTACAGAATTTGCACCAAAGATCTTATAAACACAAGATAGCGTTCTCCGCGATTTAAGGCCAACTCAGACAGCGTCGGCCGACGCAGCCCGACCCGATTTATCGTCGGGGACAGTCTTAAGCCGTCGTGAGAAATATTAAACACGTTTAATATTCTACTACGCGACTGCTCCCGACGCACACCATCGCGTCTGCGTTCAACTCACACAGACCCGACGCGACAACAAATCGCGTCGGGCTGCGTCGGCCGACGCTGTCTGAGTTGGCCTTTACGCGTAACAAATAGAAGCGTCGGTCAAGGTTCAAAAGTTTCCCATTTAGCAAGAGGGCGCCATTCATGCGCTATTACCGAAGAGAAAAAGTAATAAGTTTTGGAAGAAGGCGTCCTATCTGTTGCCATGGATCTGAGATGGTTCGTGTTCTGCTGTTCACAGGCGGTGTACACTGTATGGTCAGATCAGAGCGGTCAAGGGTCAAAAGTTTCCAATTTAGCAAGAGGGCGCCATTCATGCCTTATTACAGAATTTGCACGCGTAAATTCCGGAGAACGCTATCTTGTGTTTATAAGATCTTTGATTTGCACGCGTAAATCGCGGAGAACGCTATCTTGTGTTTATAAGATCTTTGCTCTAAATCAACTTTCTCGTTGGTGACGCTGTCCAGAATGAGAAAAATAATAAAAAAATAAGAGACTTGCGGCAAGTCTAGCCTACGATGTATTTAATGCTAGATTTCATTTTATTACATTGAAGTAAAGTTACGATACCCAGGTACGCGATTAGCCAATGTTGTGCACGAGTTTATCTAAATTTGGGTAAGCTAGGCCTACAGGTTTGCCAAAGTGGGTACGGTGTTGGAATGATCGTAAGGATATTGTGGCCTAGGTTACAGGCTACGGTAGAAAATCATCGGAATGAGATTTTCAGTACGGTATGTATTTAGGCTGGTAAAGTACTATTTACTATACGGTTATCTACTACATGTCGCACTCAGCTGTGCATGCTGACGTCGTGTACAGAAAAAAAAACCTCACTGGCAGTTGGTTGGTTGAGTTTTAGTGCTCCTCAGCCAAACAAATTGTGTCGGCCGTTGTCATATCACTAGTTTGAAACGCTTTCAGCAACGCAAATTACGCTAAATCCGATTTTATTAACAGTTTATTTAATTTAAAAAAAAAATATGAAGGAAACTCTCATTTCAACTGAAAATCGAATAACTGTTTCTGAAATGTAAAGTCATGACATATTACAATTTCACCTAAGTAGGGAAGTATGGGAATTATGATGGTATTTATTGTAAATTTGCTGATTAGTATTAATTATACGAAAATTATCAATTAGCATATTCACACACGTACCAACAACAATAGGCTCCGTCTTCTTATTACGATCTTACATTCTGCCAAGTTTAAAATCAATCGGACTTACCAAAGCTAGTTATCCCACTCCTTCGGGGAGGGTAAAATATAATGGATTCCGGATATTTAATTGTTTACCAGTAGCATCATAGAGCAAAGAAAGAGTTTCTTTGTTCTGTGCCAGTAGTAACTGGTAAAGTATTAACAAGCCATGTTATAATTACATATAAAGGATGCATTAATAAAACATAATAAATACGAATTACATGATTAATATAGTACAATCTAAGTTAATGTTAAATTATTCATAAAACCATAATGTGAAAATGTTTAAGTATAAAGAATGTATTAGTCAACGAATATTCCTAGTTGACCGTAACCGTCGGCCGCTAAGTTATAAGATACATTTGAAATAAAGAATATGAATAATCTGCCACGCTTTCAAAGCCTTCAAACAAATTATTTCATAATGTACCGTAAAGCTTGTCTAAACTATCAAATTTCATCAAAAAAGCATTACATAAAATGTGATGGAACATAGATTTGAACACGTTCAACTTTGTGATATATGTGATATGACGTCATCGTACCCATATACTTTTTATCACATAAAATGTGATAGTGTAGACAAAGCTTAAGACTGTAGTACATTATAAATGTTGTGCTAAAATTAGCTACTTACAATTATCTTTCCGAGAGTATGTCCCTATATAAATTAATTTTTCTTTGCCATTTTACTTTTTTGTCTTATTCCACCTTTATTCTCTCTTTTTCCTCAGTTTGCCATTAACTCTGGTTCTAAGTACATATCTACAATAGATTTTATGTTCAGAATTTAAAACAAAAAATAAATCTCAGTTAATACATGTATACATATGCAAAGTATTAAAATTGAGGCCTATAAAAGATTACGGTACATGATTCGTCAATAAAATGTAATAGAAAATAAAATAACATGACATGCTATTATGTATTTTACTGTCTTTTTTTATTTGCGTTGTAAATCTCAGAGAATCTTAATAAGGTTTACTAGAGTGCAATCACCTCCAAATTGGCGTACAAAATTTAAGACCATTGTTCAAAAAAAAAAAAAAATTCTAGGCCTACTTCACCTTTCGCATTATAAGCAATTATATATAATTTATTAAATCTTGTTGCATAAACAGAGATATGTTGACGGCCATCCAAAATATCAAAATATATTATGAAGTAGACTTAAGCCTACGCCGTTGATTTTATTCTTATCCCTTACACTGTAATAAATATTAGCCATAGGGCTAATTAATGTAACAATCCTATTTCCTATTGCTTTTACAGGTTAGCGGTTTAGAAAGAATTCTCTCTTGACACTCCACTAACCTGTATTTTTGTACTCAATTGCTTTGTCTTTTATAATAGTTTTGTACAAGGATGTGTTGATTTTTGTATGTGTCAAATCTATAATAAAATAAAAATAAAATATCAATTATTAATAATTAAGTACCGCATCACATTGGAGGAATTAAACCTGTTTAGTTTACTTCAATTATGGTTAAATCTTGACTTGTGCATAGGACGTCGTGTCCCTTTGCTCTCGTACAAGTGACCATTCTCCATTCGAGTCTGTTCTGTGCTTGCCTTTCGACTTCCTGAAGTGTCGTGGCAGTGTCCTTTGGGATTTGGTCCTTCCATCTTGTGGTGGCCGGCGTCCTGGTATTCTTGGTGAGCTGACAAGTAAGATTGCTTGCTGTGCTGTGGCATCCTAACAGCCTGTGCAAACCATTTTATTCGTCTTTTGGCTATGTTTTCAGTTATGGTATTAGTGATATTGAGTCTCTAATTTTATCGAATAGGGCAACTCCCATGATCGACTGTAGCTGGAATCTCATCTCGAAGACTTGAAGCTTCAGCCATTCTGACTTATAATTAACAAATACATGATGATGACGACAATAATAATAACGATAATGATTGCTAATGATAATATTGATTTTGATTATGATGATGGGAGCGGTTGAGATTTTGACTCTCAATATTAAGGTCGAAGGTTCGAACCTGTGAATTTCACTTGGGAAAGGCACTGGCGTTGTCGCTCCAACCAGTTATACAAGTATAGTAGGTACGAAATCATTGCCCTCATTATTCCTGCAATATTATGGTGTGCAGAGAGGCCATAAAATATGCACATTATACATTTCCACTATAATTATAATGACAAATAAGGTCCAACAATATTGTAGAAAACGCCACAGTAATAATTCATAAATAAAGTAGGCCCACAGTAATAAATCCCTCTAAATAAAAACCACTCCAATTAAAGTCCACCTCCAATTAAAGACCACTTTTCTGAGGCCAAAGCTGCTAAAGACCATGGACACCCCGATTCCAAAAGTGGTCTTTAATTTGAGGGAGACCTAGCTGTATTTACAAACAGCTATCTAGTACACACAATTTTATCTCAGCTGCTGGTAACTTATTGTAATAATGGAATTTCGTACCAGTGGCGTAACGACTATGAGCTCTCACTGGCTAAAGTCAGGGGCCCCGGAGCCTCAAGGACCCACAGCAAATTTTTATATATATATATATGAATGCGCTGTTTGACATGCCGCATAAGAGTAGATTGTGCTCTGTTACTTTACCGTTTTTACCTTCACATTTAGCTGATTTATTACACTGTGATTTACTTACTGACGTGTTATTATCATTTTGAACAGATAAGTCGCCTTAGCCACTAGATTTCTTTTGCCTAACTTTGTCAGTTTTACTTGGTTATTTCTAGGCCCACATTGGCCTGCATTATCCATTGTGTGACATGGCCATTCAAGGGCTCCAGTGGGCTCCAAGTGCCCTTGGTTTTGGCTACAGATCTGTGTCAGCCTACCTTGCTGGCACTTCTAGTTTTTCATATTCCAGGAAGTTAATGTTTACTCTGAACAATCCTACTCCTCTTACTGACTC